AGGGTCCCAGCTGAATATATTTGTACCAATCTCTTTGGTTTCGTGGTCGCGTTACCGCCTGCATTGTGAATTCAGCTCCTGAGATATATGTACGGAATGTTGACTGACATTTTTACCACTTCGGACCTTCACAATTTGCATTGCTCATGCCTGAGAGATATGTTGGGCAACGAATCAGCACGGACCAGTCACGACCCCTGCAAAAATATGCTTCCGTCTTGCTTCCGCTATGATATAATTTAGTTCCGTGGCGGCCGATTGGTAATTTATTCCCCTGACTTGTATATTGCGCCTTTGCACAGCCCCGAAGTATACTAGAGTATACTGTTCTCTTGGAGTGGGCTTACAGGGGTTCTTGATGAATACTGATCTTATAGGACTTTCAAATAAAGAAGGATTACCTTTATTCTATGCTGCAAGACGGAGGCAAGAATTTTGTAAAGACAGCATGACTGCCCCACGCAACGCACACCCGCATAGAAAGCCGACGTCTTGACGGCATAAACGCCGCCTGACCAATAATTTATCGCTGTGCCTCGAGTCTTTCAAGTGCGAAACAACACCGTTAGGCGACCCTCAGAGTCCGATATCTCATCCAGGACACCATAAATTCTCGTTCAAACGAATGCAACTGCGATTTGTGAACTATTATTAAATGGTATAAACGACGGTTATTCGTGACGACCATACTTTTATGAACTATTTTACCATCCACCTGCAATCTACTTAATGTTGACAAGCTTGCATTCTGAAAAAAGCCGTTCAGCACAAGTAAACAAGGAATGGAATATCACAAACCAAAGATGAGCGTCGCATTTCCTGGAATGCCAGATACGCCCTTTTTGCCATACCCCAAAGCAGGTGGAATAGTAAGTACACGTTCTCCTCCAGCCTGCATTCCGACAAGTCCTTGATCCCACCCTGTCCGGCTGTTGAGGCATTGAACACGTACTACATAAAGAAACATACCTTTAATGACCTCGCCTGCACCAAGGCGGAAGGAGAACTAACGAAATATCAATGAATGGACATCATGAAGGCAACGAAATCAACAAACGGGTTTTCCTTTGGTGTTCGAGTCGAAAACTTTGCCGTTGGTAAGTTTACCGATGTATCTCATCTGAACAGTATTGCCTTTCTTCGCTTGTGGTCCCGTTCCAACTTTTGAGTCTTTGATCTTCAGACCCCCCGGTAGCTCTTTCTCAGCTAACGTCTTGCCGGTAGTTTCAGACTTTTCTTTCTTGTCCTTTTTGCTAGGTTTGTCAGATTTATCGGCAGGAGCATCGGCTTCGACAACGACGGGTTTCCCATCTTCGCCTTTTTGCTTCTTGGCTTTCTTTTTTTCAGCCTTGGAGAGCTTTGAGCTGTCAATATCCATGTCGGTTGACTGGCGAGGCCGCTTTAGAGACTTTTCTGTAGCATCATCATGTACTTCTTCAAATCGACTAAGATAATCTGTGAGTATAACTATACGGTAGACAAAAGGTTATCAAAAAGTACCTTGCGTCACTTTCATATTCTTCTGGCTCAATTTCGACATCAGAGCTGACGTCTCTGAGGTCAAAAGCCTCCTCCTCATCGCCTATCGAGGAGTCTGAGTCCGAGTCGAATGGTCGCTGGTCTGAGAGTCGACATCAGTATAGCCACAAGAATTACATTTCTTGAGTATATACCGATGATGTGCCCGCTCACATATATCGTACTTTCAAAGACACATTAGTTGACGATAATGCATAATAAACCCAGTAACGCACTTTTCGCCGGTAGTCTCAAATTTGTACGAGCTACCCTCATTGAGCACAATATCGGTCACCACCTGTTCGACCTGGGAGGAATACTTCAGTCTGAATTACGCAAATGGTAGTTCGCATGGGTACCTTTCCTACAGACAACGAGCATAACACGGTAGTGATGTTTTCCTCCGAATCATCGTCGTCATCTTCATCATAGGCGAGATTTGGGTATGTCAGCTTGACCGTGCTCCTGCTTGACTTGCTGGGTGCTTCCGAGTCGTCACCGATTGCAATGTTGGTGACCGTTCTGTCACTGTGGGCTTCGATAATTTCAGGCTTTCCAGGCGTGAGCTTGATGCTCCTACATAGAAGAGTGAGTACAGAAAGCACTGAAAAAGATTAACGTACCATAGCGCAAGAGTGATGGCCATTTTGCAGAGACAAATGAAAGGACAGTACTGAGCGAGTCTGGTTGAGCAAGATTTTAAAAAAATCACGATCGAAGGTTTCAAGCGCCGACCGAAATACCCTAGCCGTGACCGTGATCGTCGACTCAACGGTCAAGACTCAGATCATGGTACGCATTATTCCACCTTTTCGTTGGCCATGCTCAGCATTCTTCTCAGTCGAACGCTCTTAGACCGTATCTTGCCGCCGTTAGGTCTACTTTGACAGCGGCTTTGACTCTGGAAAGCTTTTCATCGCAGGTGCGTCGAGCAAATTGCCGGGGGTCCTGACCTCAAATTGCTATCTAGGTCGTCGAACGACACAACAAACCCGAAGTAGAAGCCTCGTCAGTATCACTGCCTTGCCATAGCTTTCCTACTGACTCTTTACTGTACAGGGGATCGAAGGAGGTTCTTCTCAACCCTCTGATCATTTCAAGAAACGAAAATGAGCGCGTCCTAATCGAACCATCAATCAACTCCATTCGTTTGAGTATCAAGATCAAGCAGGCAGATGAAATAGAGCGCATACTATGCCACAAGTTTACTCGCTTCATGATGCAGAGGGCAGAGAGTTTCATTGTACTGCGGCGAAAGCCTGTACAGGTGAGCACCGTACAATATGTATCTTTCAATTCATCCATATCTTCTTTTTAGGGATACGACATCTCTTTCTTAATCACCAACACCCATTCCGAGACCATGCTGAAGCACAAGATCGTCGATTTCATCATTGAGTACATCAGACATTTGTTACCCCTCATCAGCTGCTCAATCCACCCCAGGTTTATGAAAGAAGTGGACCGAGAAATCAGTGATATGAAGCTCAGCTTAAATGCAAGGGCTCGGATTGTCGCAGAGTCGTATCTTACCGCGGTGAGATTCCTTCCACTTTCCTGCATCTGTCACCTCATCGAAGTCCATACAGATTAGTACATAATTGTATTTTCTCTCAGATTATTCATGAATGTACTATTACGCTGGAGGACATCGCAACATACGCAACGGATCATACCGCATCCCTGTTTAATACGACTGCTTAGACCTGACAATCATGGATTGGGAGATATTCCTCGCGTGAATCTGCTTTCATCTCAGCAAATGAAATGGATAGCTCAAATCTGTAATTTACGCTCAAGTTTCCCTTTGACTTTATCCCTCCATTCCCATTCCAAGATGCTATAGCAGGCCACATCGCAATAGTCCCCCCTTTCTGTCCTCCAGCATTCTCTCTTTTCCCCCTCCAGCTTCACGTCTGCAACTTTATCTAGCCATCCCCTCATAACAACATTGAATGACGCCGTTTGAAACGTTGCCCGATGCAAGCCTTGTTCTTCAAAGACGTAGACCAACAAAGTGTAGAGTACATCCGTTGCGACGCCTGTTCCAAACAGCACGGGACATATCGCGATCCCGATTTCGCACGATTTATTTGCCTCCTCCAAGTTGAAATAGCCAGCTATTCCTCCGGAATCCCACTGTCCTTTGTCGTCCCTAACGTGGATATGAAAGTCCCTAATACTAGGAATCTCTGACCGTGTTTCCCGGCGTCGGCGCATTTCCTGAGCCGAAACACTCTGAGGGAAGATGGGAAGATAACGCAGGAACTCTGGATGAGAGCGTAGCTGGGCGACTACCTCATCTTCTGAAGGATGAGGAGGGCTGAGCTTTATGCGACCAGTAACCGAGGTCAGGACAATGTTGTGGCTACACAGGTGGTGCACTTGTCGAACCACGGGCTAGCCAGGGCGTGGATAGAACAAAGCGACCCGCCGGCTGCATTCCGAGTGGAAATAAGCCTATGGTGCACATCGCTTAGTCAGCACCACTTTTGGACAGGCGCAAAATCGGCTGGCGACCGAAATTTTTTTTTTTCGTATTGGCATGTCGACCTCTTGTAGCTATTGTGAAATTATAAAATACATTGCTTTTAACCCTCTCACCGTAAATGCCCGCCGGACGTCCCAAAACTGCTGTTCTAACCAAAGCAGAGCAAGCCCGTGCTGGTAAGGCCCGGAAAAGGGCTCAGCAGGGTCAATCTGATTGTGATGGACTTCGGCTCGAATCTCGGGAATCAGCCGGTTTGCAGGAATCAGATGAAGGCAGCGACAGTGATGGAGATTATGAGGAAGACATTTGTCACTGGGACGGAAGTGTCAATGTGCCCTTTGATGCAGATTCCGAATCAGATTGGATCGATGAAGAAGGCGAAGATGTCGATGCAGATGAGGAGAATGACACGGGCTATGACTTAGAGGGCGACGAACTGCGGGAGAGTCTCCGAATGCAGGTTGAGGCAGAGATAAACCAGCTTCAGATGCTACGGAACGTGAATCTCTGTTTGGATGGCCGTAACATCACACGAAAACAGTGGGAAAAGGCTGAGAAAAACCGTGGTCTTGGATATAATGGGCTCTCCAAACGTAGTGCACAGTACCGTGCTCAAAAGGCGCGTGAAAAGGAAGAAATAGATAAACAAACACGCAGCTCGTAAGTATATAACACTGAATCAAATTTAGCCGACTCAACAGCATTCAATAACAGACAAGCAGCCCAAGCATTTCGTTCTTTCTTTGCGCAATCAAAAACATCTGTACACTCTGACAGTGCAACATCGGTATCTCCCCAAACCTCGATGACCGCAATCTCGGAGGATGATGTCATTCTGGATGACCATCCGTCTCAACTGTTCTGCGGATATGATTCTGATTTGTCTGAAGATGAGGCCATGCCAGAAGATGGGTGGGAGACAGATGAAGACGAGTTTGCAATGACAGCTGGTGATTCTGCCACGCCGGAAACATCTGAAAGCATTTCCGAGATGTTCCATGTCCAGCTTCCTCCTCCTTTGAAGCGGCGCCGACACGAAATTCCTATACGAGTTCAACGCCAACAAGAACGGGCACGACGGAAAGAAGAGCTGCAGAAAGCCTTGAATGCTATTGAGAAGCTGATCCGTTCAAAAACGCACATCTTTGATGCTGGCGCAAATGGATTACAAGCCTATCGAGCTCGGGCAATCCAGAGTTATCTCACTATGGTGGTCAAAAATGGAAGGAAGGGCGTTGACACATCTGAACGGGCTGCCGAGAGCCAGGGATTTGCAGCAAAGTGGGGAGGCCGATTGGTACGGTCATGGGTGAAGAAATGGATTGCGACGCGCACACTACCGGTATCCAAACGTGGCCAACACATCAAGGTGTTTACCCTTCTCAATGATCCCACAATCCGCGATGAGATGAGGGCTTTTCTTCGGTCAAATAAATGGACAATGAATCCCCAGAAGCTCGCCGACTTCACTCAGAATAAACTTCTTCCCGACGAAGCAAAGAAATATGCTAAGGAGGTGCTGGATAAGGAGATGCCGACAGGATTGAAGAATTATCTCGAGATCGAACTGTTCCCGCGTGTGCACCAGAAAGTGAACCGAGGCATATCCTTACAGACAGCACGGCGATGGCTTCGAGCAGAGGGATTTCAGTACACCGAGTTCAAGAAGGGCTTATATTATGATGGTCATGAGAGACCTGATGTTGTCGAGGATCGACAGGATCGTTTTCTACCGAATATGTCGATACTTCGACCCCGGTTGGTGGAATATGTTGTCGGGTCTGTGTTGGAGCAAGTGAAGAAGCAGCCTGAAAGCATTTTCGAGCGTCAACTGGTTCTTTTGTCCCATGATGAGATGACAGCACAGGCAAATGATGGGAAGGGGAAAGGCTGGATTCTTGAGGGTGAGCAACCCTTGAGAAAGAAAGGAGTTGGCCGTGGGTTGCATCAGAGTGATGTGATCTGCTCGACTTTTGGTTGGTTGGCCGGCGCAAGTCAGACATTGGAATATGGCAAGAACTACGACGGCTACTGGACAGGTGAACTGTTTGTTAAACAGGTAGGCGCATACAAAAAAATCCACTGCAACTTCTGGCTTAAAAATTAAATCCAGCTTCGCGAGAAAATTATTCCCGAGTTTGAACGCCTTCATGGACAAGGGTTTCAAGCACTGATTATGGTCGATAACTCTCAAGGCCACTCCGCGTATTCAAAGGATGCATTACTCACTTCAAGAATGAACATGAATCCTGGTGGAAAGCAGGCACGGATGCATGATGGATGGTTCATGAGCAATGGACGACGTGTTTCACAGCCCATGATCTTTCCCGCTGATCATCCTGAATTTCCTGATGCTCCAAAGGGAATGAAGCACGTTCTGATGGAGCGGGGTCTTTGGAAACACGGTCTTCGCATGCAATGTCCTGACAAATGTGCTTCTGATGCTTCCGATTGTTGCGCAAAACGAATTCTCAGCTTACAGCCCGACTTCATGGCTCAGAAGTCCCTGGTTCAGGAAGTCATCGAAGAACACGGCCACATGTGCATCTTCTTGCCCAAGTTCCATTGTGAGCTCAACTTTATTGAATATTTCTGGGGCGCTGTCAAGAAATACCTTCGAGACAACTGTGATTATACTTTCGAAACCTTGAAGGAGAACATGCCGAAAGCTCTTGCTTCTGTACCGGTGGAGAGGATTCGGAAATGGGAGCATCGAATGTATCGCTGGATGGATGCATATAGGACTGGATTGGGAGCAAAGGATGCACAGGCTAAGGTTAAGCAGTTCAGTTCGCGACGGTATACCTTTCATCGTCGTGTTCCCGAGACTCTGGCACGGCAATTTGATCAATAAGCGATCGGATATAGCCGTGATGACAAATATTCACTGTATTAGGACATGGTGACGTCATGGCGCAAAATCGGCCTGGCCAAAAAATAATTCCTCCGCCAATTCTCAATATTTCTACTATCGGTCTAACAGTTTTGTTCATTAGTTCAATTAACACCTTTTTGTTAAAGGAATAGTTAAACGGGGCAATTCCTGGACCTCAATAAATTTTGTACAAAAGTTGCGGTGTTTAGGTGATGTGCACCATAGCAACCGCGGGCTATATGACGACTGAGCCAACCCCAGGATAAACTGTCTTGGCCCCACGCTATTTTGAAATCTGAAGCAACCTCCTTTCCCGTTCCGCTCCCCCCGGCTCGCATCACGGCTTCATATAGCAATGGACAATATTATTATATTATTAGCGGTTTTCTAATGCGCTATTGTACATGCCATAGACTACGTATAATAAGTAAACTATGGCTGAGCCTACAGTCACATCTGGAAAACGCTTTTACTTACTGTAGACCTCCCCTTGCGATATAGCGTCTGACAGGATATGTAATGGTCCATAGGACGTGACGAGTTATCGCGCGATATATAGATCAGCTGTCCTACATACTGATATAGACAACCGTTGGTCATGGTGCCATATAGTTGCGCGGCAAAGACTGAAAGACAGGGAATCAGAATGGTAGACACTAGCAGAACGCATCTTGACTCACCGAGGGTGTTGAACATTGAACATCGCCGTCAAGATGACCTAGAGTGTTTGAAGACGTAGCAGACACATATCGCGCCGGTTTGCTGCTGAGATTTCGGCAGGAGGAGGGACAATACAAGACGGAGACAGACAAGAATATAGCGCGATGTGTGAGCACAGTGCTCCCTTCTACCGGACAGGCGACAAACCCGCCTATACAATGTCCAGGAAGGTTCATCGGCCTCCACGCGTGATGAAATGGCACAGGCGCCATGCATAGGGAGATACAAAAAGGGAGGGAACTTCAAGTTGTCACCGAAACGATGGTGGTGGTTGAAGTTCAAAGTTCAACATGGGCAAAACAATGGCAAACTCACAAATTTAACATGTGTATGGCGTGCTCAGCTGCGGCTGGTTTGTGCTGGGGGTATCTGTTGCTAAACATAGGATGCGTTGAAGACGTCGGGCCAGCCTCAGGCCAAATTTGGTTCTCAACAGCGGGCCAGCTCCTACTGGGCGAAGCCGAGTCTATCCGAAGCTTCAGCTGTGTAGGCATTGAGAGACCTGATTATTCGTGTACATAAGCATGCTACCAACAAAACACATAAGACGGAGATAAGTAATTTCATAAACTTTAGCTAGGTCTGTGCCTGCTGGTTCCTGATGCCGAAAAGTTCAATTATCTCTGCCTCAGGTTAGTTGCGATATATTGTGGCAGCCAGGAGTATATGCACCTTGTAAACGAGCTTCCTTCCTTTGGAGGGGCGTTTCAGTCCTCTTAGTACCCGAGAATGCTTGTTTTATCAGCGCCTTCTTCTTCTCTTGTATATCGAGCACCTATGCATGAGGAACGTCAGAGTTCTGTAGAATGCCATGCGAGTTACCCACCTTCGACTCGACGGTATTTTCAGCGATAAGCTGATAGACGTGGACATTTTTCTTTTGTCCGATACGATTCACCCTGTCGATCGCTTGACTCTCGATTCCTTCCTGCGAACAATTAATAGTCTATCGACTAACAGAGTCCAAGACATATCCTTACTTGCCACCAGCTGAGAAAAGCGTGAGTAAGTCGCATGCGAAGGCTATTATTTGACTTACGGATCCATACTAGTCGGGTTAAAACGTTTATTAATTATGTTCGAAGTAATAACAGAAGAACAAGCTCACAGGAAGACGTTATTGGCAACTGTTTGATGCTGTTAGAGGTCATGGAAAGTAGTCACATAAATCCACGAACCCGTTAAATTCAAGCCGAGAGCACCCTAGAAAGTGTTATATGGCCGCCCGAAAGATATACATGGACTCAAGCGTACCGCTTTCAACGATAGCAGCATGACTTTAGGATTGCTTCCCTCACCCAGAATGTCGCGATCTACAGAAACTCTGGCCTTAGCTTTCCCTTTACCCTTTTTCTTGCGGGATGATTCATCGTCAGAAACAATGAAATCGTCTATGTCATCATCTCGCGACATCGGCACAAAGTCGCTGTCTTGATCATCTACGGCATCTTCATCAGAATCCTCTACAACGATCCGCTGCTTCCTTCGTCGCCCGTGATGCAATTCCTCGTTTGGAGGCGGAGCCAAGGCTTCTGAGACCGGTACAGAAAACCGTGTCAACACTTCTTGCCTCTTCTTTGCTGACATACGGCCATCAAACCGCACGTACGCGATACTGATAGTACATTCAGCCCAAGTCACAATCTCAGAGACAAAGATTTACCCCTTCATATCCAATGTCTCAGCGACCTTGAAACCTTGGTCAGCAGCGCTAACAACTATTCAGAGTGTATGTATACCTTGTCCAAGAACGATGTGAACTGAGAAAAGACCAAGGATTTTTCAGAATGAGGCATAAGCGTAAGGAGTTGTATAAGTTGTTCGATCTTTGCCGAAGAACCAGTCTGGAAGGCATCTTCTTCGTCGTCTTCAGGTCCTGGCAGCTGCGTCAGTTCAGTAGGCGGCGGGGGTTCAATCACGTCATTCCACGAAAGAGTGCGGCGATCCTAGATGCATATATTGAAAGCAGAATGACGCGGTATAGGGTACAACCATACCATAGGACATTTTGCCTGCCTCGATAGAATTTCAGTGAGGCTACGACGTTTATAGGATAAGAAATAGCTCGAGTAACAACGAGGAAATGCGTACCACGGAAGGCAGAACACATGCGCGCAGCTTGTTATTCGGGTATTGTTATTCTCAGGGACAGTGAAACAGATCGGGCATTCCTGGGAATCCTCAATCGCTTGCAGGACCAATTCCTGCAATTTCGCCTTATCCTTTGGCGTCAGTTTTATCTGAGGAACGGAGTCCAATCCTGAGTCATCACTGTCGACGGCAGACCTCAGCTGATCCAGATAATTACGAGGAACGAGACCTGGGTGCAAAGCGATCTGCCGCATACGAGTAAGCATACTTAGAACGTTGGATTGCATCTGTCAAATAATATATATGTCAGAACACTGCAGTTATATCATAGAGAGTAAGCGAACCGAGTTTGCCTCTCCTCTAGCAATAAACCTTTCTAAACGTTGCTGCGAGAGGTTTTCAATCTCGTCATACAATTCCTATGAAACAGTTAACCTATGTCATACTTTGATGATGGTATCCTTACTCTAGCGTCATGGTGAAGAGTGACAGGTACCAACGTCATCTCAACCTAGAAGGGCAAGAGATTCAGTAGCAACTTCTCCTACTTGAGCATTCTTACTGAAGGTAGAGGTACTAGAGGCTTTCCAGTACTGTCCTGCATCTGCGGGGATAGTCAGTTATTGGACTATGTTAAACAGTTTTAGCTCGTACCTCTTTCGTACGTCTGATGCAGACGTGGGACATCAAAGCCTAAGTGTACGTTGAGATGAGAATACTACCATCATACAGTGTATATTTTCGCACAACTCACTCGTAGTAGTTCAACTCCGGACGGAAGGCCATCCTTCAAAGGACGAAGCAGCAGCCGTTTGAAGAAGTCCTCTTGATCTAGCGGCCCACAAATTCGAAGGAAAGTCAGAATGGAGCCGAGATCCTGATACACAGAACATCAAACACGAGTCAACCAAGGTTCTACTTTTGGCGTACCTTGGGCGAATTAATCTGAAAAATTATGAGTTTAGCGATTCTTGAGAACTGTTAATAGAAAAGCGAACTATGGGAGTGCCTGTTAACACCCATCTACGGTCTCCGCTAAGACCGCATACCGCCTTTGCCATCTTTGTTTTGGGATTGCGAATACTGTGGCCTTCATCGAGAATAATTCTCTATGACAGTGATAAGCAACTGTCAAACTGGGTAGCAGGACGTGAGGGCACCTTCCACTGTACTTCAAAAAGCGATTTCCCTATCTTTCTCTTCTTCTTGCTGGGACCGTCGCTTGGGGAAGTACCGTTGTGCTCCGAAGCAACAGTTTGGTACGTGGTAAGAACGATGTCATACCCAGCCAGCTCTTCTGGGCTCATAGACCGATTCGAACCGTAATAAACGCATACTGTCAGAGCGCCAGGAGCGCAATGATCTTGAATCTGCTTTTCCCAATTAGAAAGTACAGAAAGCGGGACCACTGCCGTAGTCAGAGATATAATTCGCCGGAGATACACCGCCGCTCACCGATTAGAGTGCTTATTGAAAAATGGGCTGGATGGTCGTCCTTAGTGGCTAGAATCAAAGCAATCATAGTCAACGTCTTCCCCTGAGGTCGGGAGATCATATGAGAAGACTGTAGTGTTTCAGTGGCCGAGTTGCTTACCAAACCCTGTCGGAATAGGTCATTGCGAGGATACAAGAGGTGATAATGCACTGTACCATAGCATCCGCGAAGAGTGCGCCTTTTCCGAGAATGGGGGGGCTTGTTTGAGGCGTTTTTGTGGCCACTTCGAACGAGGTGTTAGCCTATATGCATCAGGACGCACAACAGAAGGATACCATTATAATAATAAGTCTGCTCATTAACAGGTGAACACTAAAGGATACTTCACGACCATTTGGAGTTGTGCACACCTTATTCCCGTCCTTCCTTAATTGCCAAAACTGGACAGGCTTATCAATTTCTTTCTTGGGAATAACTGGATACTCTCGCTCGATACACCATTGCAATCCCTGGCACTGTGAAAGATAGGATGAAACATATTTTTTGTGTTGTGTGGAAGACACAAACCTGATGTTTCATCAAATCGACTACCAAGTTCCCTTGTTCGATTCCAGGAGGGGAGGGATGCAACGGTAACTTCAATATATCTTCGGTTGAGCAGACGGAGTCTAGAAGGGAGCTTCGACGTCCTTCATCATCAACTTTCTCAAGACTGTTAAGAATCTGGCGCAAT